TGAATAATTAATTTACAATAAGTATTGAGATTATAAATCATGAACACGTATGAATGAAAACAAATACCGTAAGGTATTTTTTACTGCATTTTCTAAAGTTAATACTATTTCAATTTAATCTTAAAAGATTGCACCATATATAACTTATATAATAATAATACATTTCGTATGGTTGATACCTAAATAGTGTGATAATATTTCTGTTTTATTTTTGCTTGACCGCATTACTTATAATAAATTGTATTAATTGATGATACTCAATAACTGAACATTGATCTATTAAAGTTTGTATATTATATTAAAAATGAATAATTCATCTAAAGTACTTACTGTAAACTAGCATTTTATTTTATTCCTTGTGTGTTTTCCTACGAATAGTTTGATTTCTTATGGCTGAAATACGTTTGAATACTTTTGTGAATTCTTCAACCTTATTATAAATAAACGATTCAATCAATTATTTTGTTTGTATAATATTTGCAATTTATGTTTATTCTAATTAAGTCGAAATGTACAACTAACTAACAGTTGAATTGAACATATCGTTCTAAAAATGGAATTATACCGACAAAAACTTATCTATCTTCTACTTATATATTTTTTCGAATTCTTATTAAATTATTGCATATCCTTTATGACTTATGAGTAGACTTATACCAAACTATTTATAGAAAACTGTATCTATATAATATTATTGAACTCTGGTTAGTATTGCATTTTGGTTTGGCTATGAATAAACTGTGTCGATTTAGTTTTTTGAAAAACTTTTATGAGAAACAATGATATCAACACATAAATTTGTTGATGCATTTACGATTCGGTTGGTGTAACGAACCTTAGGATTTCGATTATATGTTCACCCTCGACCATTTTTCCGACCCGATCTTAAATCAAAAACGTCACATATGCCTTTACCATGTAAATCTCTAAGTACTTTACACCCGACCCTGTCTCGGTTCCATAATCGCGTTTACCTACGGATCCCATTAGGAGATATATCGAAATCTGTCTTTATGTATTTCTCATGTATATTGTGTATTATAAATGTTGTAATAATACCGAGTGTTATTTGTAACAGCTTTAATGGCATGGCGTGTTTAGTATTTGAATGAAATACTGTCTACCGATGTATTAAAAATAAACCAAAAATGTTTTGCGTTTAATGTTATTATATAGGATACGCCCTACACTATATATTTTAGTAGTATCGTAGAAACAATATTAAATATTTATTAATTGTAATACAGAACCAATAAACCTATTAGTCTAAGAAAAAAAATTAAAACAGTTAGATGAATTACCCTGTACAACTGAACTTATCATCAACAGTTTTTCAAATTGGTGTTTTAAAATGGGTGCATTAAGAACACAACATCCTTTTCCCACAAAGTATTAGACTGCACAAACTATCAATCGTGTAGCAATCGTTGTAACTATAAATTTATCATTAAAACATTTTTTCACACACGAAAATTATTCCACTTTTCATTAGCCATGAAAGAACTTAAGTTTTAAAATCAATAAACTTACATTCAATTAGGTGGATGCAGTTTTGAGATTATGTTTTATCCTTAATGCATTTAATATTATCCAAGTTTTTCAAGTGCAGTAATAAATATTTATATTTGAGATCAAATGGCTATTTCATTTTTTTCAAAATAACGTACATCGAATGATAAAGCTAATTAGTAATCACTGTTAATGACTCAACCAAGTTATGTTTAAAAAGTGATGGGTATAGGAGTTGTGTAAAAACTATGATCAGGAAGTGCAGGACCCATGGGGGTTATGGTGTGTTACATTTGTGTTAGGACATTCAATTTGAAAGCAATGATATACAGTCACATTAAAATGTTAAATATCATTTTTAGTGAGTTTTAACACTTGTTTAAAACCTTTTATTTTGTTCAACATTTCTCAGTACATTTTTGTGCCGTTTAACTTTAGAGATAGGTACTACCGATTAAAACCAAAATGTTTTTGTAAAAAGTGTACACTAATTGTTCTACAATTTCCAATCGAAATATTAGAAACATTTGGAGTTATCATTCTGCACCATAAATACGTGTTCACAGAAAGATCTAAGAAGTTCTAATACATGGTGTATTTGGTGGGCTACTAAATGTTTACAATGCTTCAAGGCACATGAGTGCAAATTCATTTTTTTTTCTAAAATGTAAGCGAATATCATAAAAATATAGTTCTCAAAAGTATTTATGGTTTTCTTATTTTTTTTTCTACATTATGGTAGTATAAAGTTAGTAGTTTACAAAATTCAAAGTTTAAAATAATAATTTACATGGCCACAGCCACAATGCACACTGCAACAAATAAAAATTAAATTTGAGTTGATTTAAATAAATTTAAATACTATATTTGTTAAATAAACATTTGAAAATGTTATTATTTAACTCATCGATGTGACACTGTAATGTGCCCAATGCAAATACAAAGCTCCAGATGACATATAATGATTCCAAATAAAATCTGAAAATTTGGATGTAGGGATGTAGGACATAGGGGTATACACTATAAACATTAATTTAATTAGGTTTAATGGTGTACCTTTTATTATTTATTTTTATAGATTTAAAAACACTTATAAGTCAAACTGTAAAAATATTTAAAATTAAATATGATGTTTAAAATAAAATAAAAATTTTTAATTTTGTTGGCATTTTCACATCTATAAATAAACAATACAAATAAAATAAATTGCATTAATCTTTGTAGAAAATACCAAATTAATTTTTAAGTAAGATAAATGAGTTGGCTTGAAATTTTGGTATACCTAATCCAAATTTATTTTTTATTAATTAAAATACCTGTTCAAGACATTCATACTTATACTCCAGTTTGGAGAGTTTGAAGTAAAGGGAAGTAAATGAAATGAAAAAGTTCTGACTTATGAATTTCGATTTATGATGGGTATTTGAATTTTGAAGAAAACTTATATTTTTGATGCATTTTAAGACCAAGCACAAGTTACTAGTGTCAACAGAAGTATAAAATATACTATTACTACTTCTTCGGTAGAGGCATAAATAATTTGACATGTAGTTCGCTTATAAAAGTAACACAAGTTTGAAGAACCATAATATTACCTAATATGATGAAACTTGAGGTTAATTTTTACCTAGTATTTATGTTTTAGTATTTTACTGGATCACTTTCGATTAGTTGCTTGATATTAAAATAATTAAAATAATAATTCTTATTAAAGACGCAGTCAATGAACAGTAGTTTATTGATTTATTTGTAGCCATGCAGCATTTGTTGAAGTAAAATGTATGACAAAAAGTATAGGATAATAATAATGAGATAATTTATAAGAAGGAATTAAAAGTATTCAATCCTACAAATATTTAAAAGAATACATTAAATTATGTTTAAGTAAAGCAGTACCAAGAATTTTTTTTTTGTTTCTGAAGAGAGCGATACAACCCCTAAACCCCTTTCCTGTATACGCCAGTGAAGTTTGGTGGGGCCGAAAAACTAAAATAAATCATAAGTCTGGTGGAGCATTCTACGTATGGAATGATTGTGACCGTACTAGGTGAGGTGCGGTGTAACGAAAAAAGTGGAGAGTTCCATGTTTGGTAATTAGAAGCACGGATAGAAATTGATTAATTTCTTAGGCATCAACTGCGATGCTAAGACGGGATGAACCACTCAGCTAGAACCAATGGTAAAAATGCTTAGAGAAAAGCAAATAGTGAATTGGTCATAAGGGGGTTGGTATTTAAAAAAAAAATAGGCGGCTAATGATGGAAATTGATTTTGGGTATTCTCTATACGAAGTTGATCACAGGCATAAGTGTGGAAGATGGAGATAAGTCTATAACTGAATACAAGTGATATATCGACAAACTCTAAGATTGAAGTAATAGATTTCCTGATTGTAAGAGAAAACTTCATTTAGAGAGAGTGTAAAAATTTAAGATTTGAAATATAAGAAATTAACTAAAGTTGAAAATAGAAATGTGAAAATGCTATCGAAGCTATTCGAAAAAACATTTTTTTTTATGAATTGAGAGTGGATTGAACGTTTTCTATGGTAGAGGCATAATTGGAACGAATGTCATACGGACAAATTTTGTTCAGTCGAAGATTAGTAGAAGGAGGTAGATGATTGTTGAATGTAGAGAAGAAGATATTTAGAGATAATGGTGAATAAAACAATGGGAAGGTCAGGCCATTCGTCGTTAAGGCAAACAGAATGAAGAATATTTGTGAGCTGGCTTAAATCTTTTGTGAACTACTAAAAGGAAGTATGGATAGAAGTGAGCATGATCCCTGACCAAATTCGTTTTTTGATCGAGTAGCTACTACTCATAGAGTCATAGCTACATGATTTTTAAATAGTACAGAGATGCCAAATGTTCTCTTCATCTTGAAGAGTATTGATTACAGAGGAAATTCAATTTTAATGCCAGCCAGTGATGTTAGACTCGCCTTTTTCTTTATGTGCTTCGAGGTCAGCATAAACTCACAGAATTTTAACCGATCGCGAAAAACTGAGATTACACGGAAGGAACATCACTACTAGACCGCTTCTTGACGTTGAAATCACGACAAATTGAAAAGAAATTTCTTTGGAAGAGAAAATAACGTTGAGATTGCAGAGATAATGAAAGCTGTGGCCATAGTCCGATAGATGTGACCTTGTGGAGTGTACTAAGTAGATGATTCTGGCAGATAACTGTCTGGAAATGGTAGGTACCCAGGTATCATCATCAATAGTGATAGTGGTTAGAGAAAGGTCCGAGGAATTATAAAACAATGAAAAAAACACTAACATGGGTTTATTTGGTAGAGAGAAGAGATTTCCCATTCCAGACATTTGTCTATTCAAATAGTCACATTTCACATTTTGTTAGTTGTTATAATAATAATAATAATTAATAATATTACGAATGCTGTGCATTTTTTTTTTTAATATTGTTTGTTTTTTCTATAATTCTTGATTCTTATATAAAAGTTTTATTTTTATACTATAGAATAAAATACTCTTCATTCCGGCTAACTGAAGTACTCTTCTCTATTGTTGTCGTGTCTTATTCACCATTCCAATAGTAATATTAGAGCAGCAATATGCCGCCACCATCATTTCGGACAATAAACTAAAGACTGTATTCGATTTACGATGCCAGTCGTCTAATGGCAACTCCAGCTCATTCGCCTGAATCAGACAATGTTTACGAAAAAGCATACTCGGTAAGTACTAAAATGGTTTTTTCTTACTTTACTACATCGTTTAAAATGTTTGAACCGAAAAAATAGTATTGTAGAGTATAGTTTTTGAAATATATTGTGGATATTTTAAAGACCAATGTAATTTAATTTTAATTTTTAATAATATAAAACGAAATATTATATACTCGCACATGAAAATAATAGTTTTCAATCTCGTTATATTATTACAAGCAATATCTCATACAATATCACCTTAATAAATAATAATTAAACTTGTGTTTATATTAGGATTTATGAGTTTAACTTATGATGCTCTAATGTTTTAAGGTGTTCATTTTTTTTTTATATTGTATGAAGCCATTATTTTTTTTACAATTGTTTTTGTATTTTCATAGAAATAGTTCAGGAATTCTATAAATTACTTATATCCGTTAATGGCTTTCATTAAGTTTCATGCATAATAATATTAGTATGTTTCATTTTCTGTCTTATGTGATGTAAATAAAATAAAATTTATTTGATAAAACTCTCGTGGGAAAACTAAACTTTTATTTTTTTATCTGATAACTGTAAGTTTTTATGCATTTATTTCTAATAGATTTCGGTAATTTTACAACTTTGATTTAAACGCAAAAATAAGTTCTTCTAACCTGAGTGAGAGAACTTTAAAGTCATCGACATTCTGCATTTACTGAGTGTAAGTGTCATGATCATATATGGATAAGTTGACAAACAATAATTGTCTGATACATATATAATTCATTCTTAGAATTCATTGTACGGGTGAAGGGTGACTATAATTAGATAAAAATATTATACTTAATTTGGTTATCAGAGTTTATAGTCATAGGTTTTATAGTAAAAAGTAACTTGTGGTATAAACTATATAATGTCTGTTTCGGGAAGAACCTTAAGTGAGCACGTGTTAAGGATGAGTGACTTAATGGAGTTGAAAAAGATAATACGTTTTTCTTTCTCTACAAACGTAATTTCAAAATTGCATAAGTATTTTGTCCTCTTTTATTTTTAAAACGTTTGTTTAATATAAAATCTGCCATGTATTAAAAACACGTAAAAAATTAATATGAAGTTAATGAGAGGTATTTTCTTATACATTGGTATTTTATGATCTGCGTGAATAAAACATACACTTATTTAGTATTACTAATGTTTTTATAACTTATTTTTGTCTTATTCTGATTAAAAACTGGAAGATAATATGTTTATAGGTTTTTATTTTTGCTAAGTTTATCTTAACAACACAATTATTTATTGTAATAATAACCAATACTCATAAAAAAAGTATCTAGAAAACTGTGCATCCTAAATTCTAAGTATTTGTTGTGTAGGCCATTGTTTTTGATGAGTGTTGCAAAAGTAGGTAGGTATTTTAAAATTAAATTTGAAAGCGACTACTATTACATTCGAAAGACGATTTTGAGCTGAGCTTAGTTTACTATAGTGTTTATTTCATTCTGCAAACTTTAAGTGCTAATAAAATGAAATGGTGAATAAAGATCTTCTGAAAAAATAAAATAAAGTAAGCTTATATTGTAGGTATATATATTTTATGAATAATTATATAAATAACAAAGTTAACTTTTTCCTAAAAAGTCTCAAATTTAAAATTAATCTAATAAAATTAAATTAAAATATGACGAAAAAGATATATTTTGTTGTAGGTATAATATTATACAAGTAGGTATGTAGTTACCTACATTTAGTCTACAACACAGGTATCTTTAACAAATGAATACAACATTTAGCAGTAGCCAGTAGGTAACACAGTCACATACACCAAAAACCTTTCACGAGAATGAGAATTATAATAATAATGAAATGTTAATAAATTGTTAGTTAACAATATTATTTACAAGTAAAAATGAGTTATGTTAATCATTTTAATATAAAATATTATCCATAATATATTCTTTCATAATTTAAATAAGTTTTGTTATTAAATACTAGAAATAATAGATTTAAATGTTAAATGTAATTTTTTCATAATATTTTTTGTTTCAACAAACTTATTTAAGTTCAATGGTTTTTATGGTTTTGCATTTGTGAATAAATTAAAATGAGTTAACTTTTTAAAAAGTCTGACTTTGTTAAAATTATATTTTTTTCCTTGGCTGAATATTTAGTTATTTAAATAATCACGTCAAAGAGTTGTTTAACATTAATTATTTATAATAATAAAAAATGAAACATGTAGTAATTAATTTTAGGTGGCGTGTCTTGCAACTATGTAATGTTATATAATATATAATATGTATATAATATAACGTAAAATAAAATACATGAATGCATGTAAAATGTACACTCATTATTTCGAAAAGTATCAACTTTATTTGAAATTTTTCATTTGAAAAATATAATATTCGAGATTTCATAACAATGTGTTAAAAAAAATTAAATGTGTGTATCCATTATTTAAACCTTTTTTTTCTATAAATACGCGTTTCAAGTTTACAAAATAAGAGTAACAATATGTTAAGGTTCTACCTAACTCCCCTTAAAAATATACATTATTATCATTTAAATTACATTATAAAACAAAATACATATTTAATAACTATTAATCTAACAAACTAATTCATCCTCATCGAAAAATTTTGTGGAAAGTATTCTGCTTCAGATGATAGAATTTAAGAAAATTATTTGCATTTAAAAATATAAAAAGTTTATTTAATCATTTTGCCAACGATTTGAGTGATCATATAATTGGGGCAATATAAATAATATGTTAGAACTATATGTATCTATCTTACAGTTAAAAATTTGTTTAAAAAATATTCAAAATCTTTTGAAACATTATCCATTGAAACTTAAGAGTATATTATTGTTAAAAGAGATTTTTCGTATTTTAGTGTACGCACATAGAAAAAAAACATTCCCTCTTGCCGCATGTACAAGAAATGACTAATAATTATTACTGTGCCATTTATTTTATGTTTAGGTACCTACTTTAAATCTCAGCAACTGCAGACTGAATGAATAATAAAAAAAGGAATAATTCAACTGTTAAAACCAAATATAAATACCTAATGTTTATTTTACATTCATTTTAGTATTTTTATTTTTATTTTTACTAAATTCAACGGTAATTAAAATAAATTGCATTTCAACAGTTCATCCTACGCGTTCAAAAAGCCACTATGTAACAATTTGATTTTATCCTAATATATTATTTTAAAATATTCAATACTTTAAATTTACATTAATAAATAGTTAAATTAACTAAAATATTATTAATTGTTTTATTAAACAATATTTATGTGCATTATGAAATAACAGGTGCAGCACTTCGTCAACTATTAAATAAAAAAAGTTCTCGTTTCTATTGTTAGTTAATTATTTATTGATATATTTGTATCATTAAATTTGGAAATGATTAAACAATTTCCTGTAAAGTTATCATTAAACTATTATTTAAAATTGTAGGATTATATTGTTCAACAAATAGATTTGACGTTAAAATTTAAAAAAAAATTGTTCTTAAAAAACCATAGTATAATATGGTATAGACCAACCCTAGAGTCTAGGGTTAAACCTAGCTTAGGGAATTGTAAGTATAAACAATAAAGAACAGAAATGACATAACATAAAAATGTTTTTCATTTCAAAGCATTACCTCGTTATAGTTGTAACTAACCTAATTTGTTTTCACTTGAAAGTTTTAAAAGTTAATTCAATGAGATAGCCATTGGATTAACATAATACCTATAATTTAAGTATGTAAAATATACGAAACATATGAAGTGTAACTAAAATTGTTTTTAATAAGTGTGAGAGACATTTCTTTTTGTTAAGTGTTCTTTACATTAGCATAAAATTCACTTGATAAACGGTAATATTAACAACAACCTGATGTTCGAATATTTTTCAATTTTAGATTTTGAGTGGAGCAATGATGACTTTTAAATAACTATTGTTAACTCATTTGTAGAATTTAGAACAATTATTAGAACTTTAAGATTTTAATACTGTATAAAATATTCATTTTAGTAATAATATTATTCTTCATTTTATTATAATTTAATAATATACAAAAATAAAACATTTTATAATATGTTGATGAGAAATAAAAAGTGTTCACAAGTTATTAATTTCTATTGTCTCATTGAATTATAAAATCCAACAACAATTACCATAGTAATTCATTTTGAAATTGTTTTATATCTTTATACTATTATTGAAATGAAAATAATAATATCGTGTTAAAAACCAATAAATTATGTACCTATTGCATTTGACACTTCAGCACAGGTGCTTTCGATTTGTGTATACAACACCTTGCAAGTATGCATAGTGGTTATTTACCTAATATGAGATTTTTATTGAAAAACTTACATAAACGACTAGAAGTTTTCTTTGTAAATTTTATGCCCTCAACATATGTTATATTCAGTGAACAGTTATGATGCAGATAAAGACATGTCATACAAATATTGTTGTATTCTAATAATAGTATTGCATAGTTGATTGATAATACAACTTGTGAATTGTAATAGATTAGTGCAATTAATAATTTCAACAGTTCCTTTGTTAAAATACATACAATAGTATTTTCACATAGGTAGGTATCTACTAATAATAATAGTAGTTGAAAAAATTAATTTTGCTTACCTATCATGTTTTTGGCATCAACAGTTTGGTGGAACAATGATTTTTGAATTTTTTATCATATCCCACGATGTGTTTAATTGTAAATGTTAAATCATAATTTGGCTCCAAGCCCATCTTAAGAACGTAAGTAAGGTTGCCAACTAATTAGACTATATTTCTACTTAAACCAGATTTGTTATGTTTATTAATTTTGTAATAAAATCAATACAATTATTTAATAGTGTTTATTTAGTTTCAATAAGACCTTAACTACTTCCTACTTCTTAGAAAATATACATTAGTGTCTATTTTCAAAGCATTTTTAAGTCTATTGAACACTAAGCTCTAACTAGGTATTAAATTAATATTTTTAGTTTGTCAAATCATTAAGCTAGGTAAGTAGTGGGTACTTC